AAAAAAAATGATTGAATAGTGCTCATTTCAATTTAATTTCTGATTCCACAACATTCTGTTTCGAAAAAGTTTTCACCAGCTTCTGATATCTCCTGTAACATAGGAGTGAAGTATTCAAGCAAAGTTTCTCATACTATGCTGCCAAGCTTTATAATAAACTGTCACCGAAGTTTATAGATTTCAATATATTCACCTTGAAAAAAATCCTAAATTCCTCCTCAAACAAACGTAAGAACCTGTTTCAATGATCTGGCATTTTCCATTGTTCATTTTTCTGTTATTCATGGTGAAAACTATTTCTCCTTTTTTATGATTCATCATTGAGTACTTTATCTTCATTGTCTCAATACAGTTACGGTTCTGTTCTTTCTCTAATGGATTTAATAATTGATTGAGCAATTCTAGGTTGGATTGAAAACCACTTTGTAGTGATAGTTCATCTTTTCACATTATGATATATCGTTTTGTCAAAAGTCAAAATATGTTGTTGTTATTTCTATTATTTACAGTTTAGAAAATGAATGAAAAAAATCGTACAACTTTAATCGATGGTCTCTCTTGCTAGCTCATTCATTGTATTCATTATTATTTTCTGTGGAGGTACAAATTATTTATTGTTTTCATAACAATGTTGTCTGTTATGTATCCTAACTTTTTCAACATGGATAAACTATGGTTTATCCTTATTCTCGAAATATGGAAATAGGTATTTTTGACAAGTGTATTGTTTTCTTATGAAATTATCTTATCGCATAACCCTGATGGAGAATTTGATAGTTATTTCCAAGGAACACAAGCACTACAGCAAAATCCTTGAGGCGCTCTAAGAGCGGTGCCTGTGCGATTCGCGTTGGATTTGAATAACTGGAAATCAAATTCAGTGGAAAAAAACGTGCTTAGGAAGTGAAGTTCAAGATGAACTGAGTTGAACCTTAAAATGATGAGCAGCCACAGTCCGTCGCATATTTTCGATACAGATTTGATAGAATCAAATGTGCCAAATCACTTGACAACCTCCCGTGAAAGTATCTATGAAAGAGAGACAAATCTTCAACCTTTCTTCGATGTTCCAGACCATCACGGTTGCAAGTGATGATCGAGTGTACAATCAGGTGGATAGCTCCTTTCTGGATACAACCCAGCAGCTTCAGGGTAGGCGTAGGGTTAGAGCTTCATATATGAGAACAATACTCCAAAGAAAGTTTGATCTGAGCTTCATAAAGCATCAAAAGTTGCTGAGGTGTGTACAGTTTTCTAGTTCGGAACAGTGTTCTAAGCTTTTGAGAAGCAATCTTTGCAATTCCAGCAACATGATTGTCCCAAGTCATTTTGGTCTTCATTTCAGCACCCAACAAACTCTTCGAAACAGATAGCGGAATCATTGAATTGAATCCAGTTTCTTTCACCTCAATTTGAAATCACCTTCAAATCCTCTTTAAGATATATNATTTCCTTCCTTTGGTTATGTATTTATAAAAATATTATTCCATACTTTTGAGTCAGCTCGTACCAATGAGCAAAGCCATTTTCATCACAAGTATTAGTTGACATCTTAGATACTATTGAATTAATGTTGATGAAATCCATAGTGTTCTCAAAGGCGAACTGAAAGTAAAGAAAAAGAAAGATAACAATTCGATTGTTTTATTGGTCCTGGAAAAATTCGCATACCAACTTACAGACATACAAACATACATTCATGCTGGCATACAAACAAATATCTGTATGTTTATTCTAATGAAATATTATACCTGAAAATATTTCCTTTCGATTCATACATACGTCTCTAGTGGATGTTTTCTTGTTTTGACGTATTCAAAAACACTTTCTTTCAAAAACTTTTCAACTATCAATATCAGCATAAAATGAATAATAACTCATTTCATTCACCATTAAATTTATCACAAAAAATGTTTTCTAATGTTAAGTTTTTCAAGTTAGGTGTAATCTCATCTTATTTATAGACTGATAAGTTTTCAAATAACAACACAACAATTTGTGTATTTCACTGACTATACAAGATTCATAACTGACCTCAAATTCAAGGTTAAAGACATGCCTGTAAACTATAATCCGAACAGGGAATTCTTGGGTCACACTTCGAATGGAATATAATTCAAGGAGAAAGGTATCTAGCTTTCATTCCAGAATTAACCGTTTTTCAGATCAGGTGTTATCAATTTTGGATTTGTGGCAGATCCTATTCCTTCATATATGGCCAACATATAGGTAGAATGTTGGTCAAACCAAGCGAACCATAACAACGTGTTTGATTGAACATGTTTAACATGAACCAGAGAAGTCTAGTGTAGCTCAACATGCCTTATAAACGGAGTAATTGAACCGTTTGAAATTTTTGTGACAACAGGCTTCCAGACGTCTTTGAAAATTCAGGATTCGAAAAGTATAGAGTGGAATCTATAAACAACAATGAAGATCGCATCTGAAACAACCCTTTGTCAGCTCTTTCACACAAGTAAGTACATTTCTACTTGATAAGGGGATAACATACAAATCTCTTACTCAACTGATTCCTGAATAATCTCGCACATGGAGGTATCGAAAAATAATTCATTAACATAGTAACAACAGTCCTCTAGAGATAGTGGAGAAATGCACGTCAAAATATATGGCACAATCCACTTATA